TTGGCCTCTTTGCATGTAGCAGTTTGGCCAAAATGGTGAAGTCGCCCACTTTAATTGGCAGWATGTCTCCTTCAGCTGAAGGGCAGCCTGACAGTTTTTCCCCTGACCAAGCTAAGAGTGCCTTTGTGTGTCATGGCCTTTTGTTGTAATTGCACGCCAGGCTGGTGACTCAGCAATCTGGGGCAATGGGGAATGCTGGGTGTGCAGCAGATTTGTGTGTTGGTGTGAAGAGAAGATGCAGCTGTCCGATGAGAGTGACTCATCACAGTTTGTTGTCGGGCTTTGAAGAACTGACAGCTTAAACTGAACATCATTATGTGAATGAGCACAAAGCTTTCATGCAGCATGGGCTTCTGAATTAAAGCATGAACRTCGTGAGGGTTTTTGATTAAATATTAAGATGTCTGGACAGACTCCGTTAACTGTGCAGTGACTGAGAGAAGAGACTGTAGAGCTCTTTAATACCCATTAGCACCCACCTGTTTATTTAATCTTCCATGACTTCCAATAAAATAAGCTCTGGACTCTGAAGCATTGCTGTATCTTGTGCYTTGAATTCTATTGAAAAACTAATAATAAACAGCTGATTCTTGAATTTGTGTGAATGGTCTGAATTTGTATAGCATTTTATCAAGTCCCTATGGACTCCAAAGTGTTTTACACTACAGTCAGTCAGCCATTCACACACTGATGGTGACAATTAACATTGTAACCACAGCTGCCCTGGGCAGACTGACAGAGCCACTGGGCCCTCTGACCACCATCAGCAGGCAAGGTGGCTGAAGTTTTTCCCAAGTTTTTCCCAAGAACACAATGACTGAGATGGACAGAGCGTGAGCTTGAACCAGCAACCCAATGAGTACAGAACAAACTTCCCAGCTCCTGAGCCACTGTCATCCCACTGTGTTGCCTATATTTAAGTGAACAAAMCTGCAGTTGAAGCTTTGTTGTCTTGCTTCTCTCTTTAAAACTGAAATGATGAATTCACCAAGAAAAAAAAAAAACAATATCAGTATAATTTAAAAAAAAATCCATTAAGGATGCAGCCTTGGTCAGTACTTTTTCCAAGAAGTGGATGTATTCCCTAAACATGATGTCAATAGATCAGACTGACCACAAAGAACAGTTTTCATAAATCCTTTACAATGTAAAGGAGTGGTGTCCTGTTGCTTTCACTGTTGAAGGGAATGCCCCTGACCCCATTACTTACAACTTCTAAAAAAAGACCCATTTCCCTRAAGAGAGATTTTAGATTACTGGGATGGTGGGATTTTCCAAATGAGCAAAATCATACCTGTACATTCAGACAGCAGACTAATATAGATCCCTGACTGCATAGTGCTGACACATTGCTATCACATTCAGGAGTATTGGGGAGTCAGTGTTGCAACGTATTATAAGAACAAATGAATTTTTCAGTGCAAGTGCAAGTTAGTCAGGTAAAATATTTTTCACAATCCTAATGTGTTTGCCTAAATCAAATTTTTGGTAGCAAAACAAGTCAAACATAGGACAACAATACTGTATGTGTCCTGTCTTTATTGACCAAATTGTCCAAACTAGAAATCTRACCTTCCTGTTGCTTCACTTTTAAAACTGAGGCCTCATGGGTCATTTTGACCAAAGACGACCAGGAGAGTTGATGTATACCAAAACATGACTGACCAGTCAGGTCATGGGCAAAATGCATCTTAGGTGTGTTGTGAAATGTGGTTGTGACTCTATGGATTTGCCCTTTTTAACCTACAGAGTTGCTCAGGTTTCATTATAGGAATTTCTGGAGACCTGATGGGTCAACTCCTGAGACTTTTTTCTGGTTTTTCAGGTATAAGACATTTTTGCAGTGCCCAGATTTGTAGTGCTGATGTTGAGCTGCTAGTATTGTAAAGAGCTGTTGTCATGTGAGGATGTTAGGTGTCAAGAGACAAAGAAACATTTTATTAGTGACAAGATGCAGTTTTTTTTCTGGCAATGTGTTGCATTATTGCAAGCTCCTTTTAGAGTTTGAGTGTCAACTTAATTTTTCCCAAATGTGCCTTTATAAAAACTTGCAATCAGAGGATGCAGCACTTCAGGATTTCAAGAACTTACTACAAAAAATGGCTCATATATTTAAAAAATATCTCTCTCAATTTGGCATCAACTATCTGACTTGTTTTGTTGCTGTTAAAACATGGCACAATCTGTGTACTGGATGCAGTCGGTCCATAAACTTAACCTCTTTCCTTTCTTATCTCCATGAAGTGTTTTRTGATATTTTTGTGTCAGTTATCTTATTCCTTCTCCTTTTTTCAATCAAATTATTAAAATTTCATTCATGTCAATATATGTAGGTGTTCCTGTAGARTGGATGGAGACCACAATGCTTCATTCCTGTCTGACAGATGGATATTGAATCAATGGAGTCAATATTCCTCTTTCTTAACCATGACTTCAGGCTATTAACGTGTCAGTCAGATCATATTTTACCCTTCATCACCACTTGACCATTATTCTAGTTTTTTATTCTCTGCAGCATTTAAAGTACATTTTAGATCAGTCTTTATCCAGTAAATGTTTGTTTAAACATACATGATTAAGCACATTGCTTGTGGATATTTAAAACTACATCAAATGCAGGGTATTTGTCTAAAAAAAGTTGAGTAGATTCTCTGGATGGTTTATTATTATTGTTATTATTAGTATTATTTATTTATTTATTTATTTAATTTTTTTTTGTTAACTTGTTTGAGGCCATCCTGTCCAAAGTGGTCTAAAATGTTCTGATGCATCACGGATAGAAAAATCTGGCCTGGTAGAAAAATCTAAAAAAAATAAACGTTGAGTATATCCTCTGGATGCATTATTCTGTGTTTTAAAAAAAGAAAAAAACTTATTGTTTCATCAGCTACTCCCATTTCTCAATTTGCCCATTTAAAACATTTGCTATATGGATGCTAAGTTAGCAACATTTAGCAAAGTAMGGCTGTCTTATTTTTGGTGGTGTAAAAACAAAACACACAATAATTAGCTTGTCTTTTCATGGTGTACATAAATCAGAATACCTTATTATTGTAAGAGATGAAGCCTTAATAGGAGGTCATATTGTTTTCCTGCTTATGATACAAAGTCTCAGTTAAGCTGCAGAGWTGGTGATAATAATCCTTTCATATTTTCATAAACTGGGTTATTTATTAATAACTTAATTCTAAATATTCAAACTTCTCCCTATTCATTCATCCCTCTGCCCAAAGTGAAAATAGATGATTAGATGTTGTAATTCCAGTGAGCATGTTGGGTCTGTCCAACTGAAATATTCAATCATMTTTTATTAAACTTGAGCAATCTGTCAGATTTACACTTCCTGATGTTTCAGTAAACTTTTGACCTGCTTGTGACATGTCAGATGTGTGTCTGTATGAAAAGTAACTTTTTCAGACCTTTAAAGTATCCTGATTTGGCAACGTTTTCATTTTCCCCCCTTTCACTGCCCRTGCCCCCTGTTTACCCTCCTGTCATTTGGCACACCCTTGTGGTTTTCAGCTCTGTGAAGGACAGCTACCCATTTCACCTCGTTTTTAATTATACTCCAAACCCTCAATTTGCTTGCTCGAAACTACTTCAAAGAAACTCCACACACTCACCCTCACACAAAKATTGTACTTCCTTTTCTACATGACCAGCTGAAAGCACAAAGTGAAAAGATGATCTCTTAATCCAGTTATTTGAAGACTATTTTTAGCTCATTGTTTCCGTCAAAGCTCCTGTTTTTATTCCATTCTGTGTTTGTGTTTGATAACGCAGCCTGTAAAGCTCCTTGTATTTGTGTGGTCTTACCACTCATAAAAGTTTTGCGGTTAAGCTTGTGCATGAAAATGAGTGTCTGTGTGTGTGTGTGTGTGTGTGTGTGTGTGTGTGTGTGTG